ATGACATGAAAAATTTCTTTTATGGAAACGCTAGAAATTTTGGTTGTCGATCTCTACAATCTCTACAAAAGTTATACGTACATTATTTTAAACTGGCATAATCTAATCTATGTGCAGTAACAAGTAAAAAACTATAAATCGTTAAATTAATTAATTACTTGATATAAAACTTTCTTATATCGAGAGTTTATTAATAACTTTCTTATATCGAGTGGATTTAATACAGACTGGTTTGGGCTTAACTTTCTTATATTGAGAGTTTAATTAGTCTTTCTTATATTGTGAGTAACTTGTAAATATTTCATGTTATAGAATTAACTAGTTTAAAACTTAAAACACGATATTGATATGGCTGTGGCAAGTGTGCAACGTCCAAAATCCAAACTTTTATAATGAGTGTTCAGCATGCACCTTATCTTTGTATGGTTAGATTATACATTAGATTTCAATGTTTATGTTACTATTAAGAACCATGCAGTATAAAGAAAGATGATCTCAATCATTGTATCCGGAAAATATAAGATCCGAAGGTCCTTATGCATATTGTTTATTTTGATCAACCAATCAAAATCGAGAAAACTTTTATTGTACACATTATAAACAAACAATGAAAAACTCTAATTTGTGCAATCACAAATATCGAGTGCTATATATCTCTGGATAATAATTCGTAGAAGATTACATACTATATTTCTAAATTTCTTTATTATTATGTGTCTGCTTATAATGATGCAATCTATGTTTGATTGGTTAGAAAGCATATAGCATCCAAATGCAAGATTTGCAAGATTTTGTGGACTACGCAATAGAACCTATCTGTATATTCCTCTTTTCGCTTGCGGAAAACTCTGTTGCTTGTAATCCAATTTCGGATTGGGGCACTTAGATGCATTCGCATAACAATAATCTTTTTTATAGGATTCTTTTTTATCCTTTTTTATACAAATTTGATTTGTAATTAAAAGTATACATTAGGTTACAAAATATGCAATAGCTGTTCACATCGTATAACTTCTGGTTTTTTTTAAAAAAATATATATTGAATAGGTGTTGGGAAAAAGGGAAATCAACAATTTGTTTGAAATTGTTATTTAAATTAATTTAAATACAATTCAAAGAAAAGTAAATATATTATTAAACTTTTGTATTATTACTGATCTTATTTTATGTCTATTTCTCCTTTTTCCCCGTGAAAATGGTGAATTCTTTTGTAATATATGCACATTACTGTATGTTGTACTAGTGTAGCGTAATCAGATAACAGATAATAAATTTTGTACGATATAACATTGTACGTCAGGGGCAGAACAACAAAATAATATCTTTCGGAATTCAAGCGGAGTTTATTCGCAAGTATTAATATAGAACACAAAGGAGCTTATAAGCGTTAATTTGCGCTATAATACAAAGAAAAATTAAATTTATTAATTTATCATAAATATATTTAAAAATTTTGATTTGACGTTATATAGTAATTTCAATACTTTCTTGTTCTATAATTTAGGTAATTAATCAAAAGCAACAGAAATTGGCGTTGAGATTTACTAGATCATTATCGAAAAATTTTGTCTCAAATCTGATAATTGCATCATTTTTGCAGTAGAATATATGAATGAAATTGTCAAAGTAATACTGTCTGCAATATAGTCAGTCCGTATTTATATATTTGGAACCTATCTATAGGTATTTTGGAGATTGTATCTGTCTTAAAGGTACAGGTAAAATTTCATAAAATTTACGTGTATCCAAAATAGAATTTTAAGCTATTGTGTAACATGAAACCGCATAGAAAAGTTTAGATTCTTACATACGTACGTACGTACGTACGTACCAACTGTGGGCATAACCCTTACATCAATGAACCAATTTCACTATTTAGAGAGGACGATAATCAGTACTCTCAACTATGGATATTGAAAGGAATTTCTGTTAAGAATTCGCTTTGCCTCAAAATATATTACCTTTACTATCTAGATTATAGTTCTCAATAACACAGACATATTAAGAGGGATGTGGAATATCAGTCAATAAGAAAATTACTAGGTACAAATAAATTCTCTGAATTAAATTTTTATTCTATGAAAAATCTTATTCTAAATATTATTTTGATTAAATGACGCGTCACCTTCTATTTAACAAAAATTTTATTGGTCTAAGGTTATATTGTATATTTATTTTAATGTTAAAAAATAATTTTTATCAAATTCTACAAATATGAATATAAAAATCATGTCATAAAGAATAGTATCTAATTTCTGAAATATTTAAAAACTTATTCTTATCTTTTAAAAAATACATAATTTGTATTATTTTACAAATATATAATATTTGTTTAAACAAGGTTATTACCAAAGTTCTTAGAATATAGGAAAGATTAATTTCTTTACTGCTTTTTGTAATTCGGTTAAGTCTTTTAGTTTCTCCACTTCTTTTTCACTAACCGTTTCTGTATAATTTTCGTCCCTTTCTCGAAGCAAGTTCCCCTCCGAGTCCAGTTGTCGTAATTGTTAGTATTTGTGATTTAGAAGTAGAGGAATTTGGCCAGCAAATATAAAAATATATAAATTTTTTATTTGAAAGGAGTTCCTAAAATAAACACAGTTTCGATTTCAATTTCAATATTTCGTTGAGGTGGTGTTTCTGGATTATTCGATCCTTCAAATAGGATCGCTGAGCCTTCAAATAAATGTTGTTGAATTGTAGAAAATGTATTGGTTAATTGATTTTCATCGCGTTGAGTTCTTGGATTTTGTCCAACAATATTTATTCGTCTTTGGTGTTGGTTGACATTAGTTTGTCCTAGAAGTCCTTGTGGTATAGTTCCATTAGCTTGACCGTTCATATTTGTAAAAATTTGTTAAAGCGAAAAAATAATGAAAAAAATAAGTGAAAAATACGGTAACTGAAAGATACAAGTAACTCTGGATATAAAAAACTTTCGATATAAAAACTCTTTATTTAAGAAAATTTCGATATAAGAAAGATGGACCCGACGACTATCAAGAGTCACTTGTAAATAAAATTCCCGAAAGAAATCGGGTTTTATATTGTTTAATAAAATAGATAATTTATAATTTATTCGAAACTTATTAACTTACTAAAATAATTGCACTAAAAATTATGCAATATCATATGAGATTTCTAAATTTTTATTCATTTCATCATAGGTGATGTTAGCACTAAATATATAAAGCGCGTCTGATCATTTAATATCTCGGTGGTTCGCGAATTATATAATAGCATTATATCTATACTTATTTGTAAAAAAAAATTCTATTGAATAAAGTCTTCACACCTTAACTCATAATTCAGGCAATTGAAAATTTTACTTGTTGGTTTATTTTTGGAAAGACTATTCAAATGAATGAAAATTACTGTATATATTATTTATTAAAAACGTATTACATATTAGTGTCGTCAAAGAAGCCGTACAACGTAATTTACCATATTTTCGCGAAATGACGCCCACTTTCGCGTTATTTAGAATCCATGTGCGTTAATTCGAGTACGCGCATGTGCGTTATTTCGAAATAAAAGTTCAAATTTCTACCAAAGCTGATCTCTAAATACTTATTATTAAAATTAATATATTGGATGCGTGTTATTTCGGAACGCTCATGGGCGTTATTTTGAAACCAACTATGCTATTTTAAGAAAATTCGATTTTCAAAATAACGCCCATGTGCGAAAGCCTTATGCCTAGTGCTCCTAATCGGGTCGGGTCAACCCGAAACCCGACCCGAATTTTCGGGTCGGGTCGGGTTCGGGTTAGAAAA